TCGCGCTTTGTTTCGCGGGGCTGGTGGGCTCGTGGCTTAAGGGCTGCATCGGGTTGGAACAGATTTGCAGTCTTTCCTGGGGCTGTCCTGGAGCAAATTTGGCGTCCAGTGCCAGCTTTTTGGCTTCACTTGGGCAGTTTTGACAGTCTCGGGGCCTTATTGTTGGGCCATCTTGCAGCGTCTTGTGGGCACCTTAGATCCTCCCGGGGCGGCCTCGGGTCAGCCTGCACAATCTGGGGCCTCTCTTGTGGGTTCGGGGGGCCCTTTTGAGGTCGTCTTAGGCGAGACAATCTCGGGGCCTTGTGCCTTGTTGGAACTTTTGGGTAGATTTTGAGGGCATCCTGGAACTTCAGGTGGACAACCTTGCGGCCATTTTGGTAATCTTAGGGCCATCTTGCATAATTTAAGGTTGATCGTGGTGTCTCTGGGGCAGCCTCGGGGTCGTCGTAAGGATTCCCAGTAGCTACGCGATTGAAGCTGCACTTTTTATTTACCCTTGCCTACTTGCAGATACTCTTGGAGGCGTATTGTGGCCCCTCGGGTTGCATTCGGGCAAGCTTGGTAAGATTTTGGGCATCGATGCCGCCACAAGCTATGTATGCATTGGTTTTGTAGCCTCCAGGGCACCGTCCGTTCAATTTCACGTGCCTTGCCATACCCGGTGATGCGATACCCAACATTATTCTTTGTGTGCTTTTGAAGCTTGGGTGCCCCGCCGTAGTTGGAGGCTCCAGGGGCACGGTTCCGGTATTGACACGGGGGGTCGTTTTTTGGGGGGGTCGCGTTTTCAGAGGGAATCGCAGCCTTCCTTTTTTGGGGTCCGTTGGCGCTTGGCGTGCCCGTGCCCCCACAAGCCAAAATTGAGAAGCGGTCTCCGGGCGAGATGCCTCGGTCCAGGAAGCGTCATGCAGTGAAACAAAGGGGTGGCAGCCGTCAGGTGATCGTTTACTTGTTCACTGTTTTGCCGATCGGCGCGGGCCCTCGCCCCCCCTCCCCCGCCCCCCCCTGGAGTGGTTCTTGGCTGTTTTTGGCTCCTGTTTCGAGCAGGTGGAGTTCCTCCTCCATAGGACGCACCGTCGCAAACAGTCGCACTAAGCAGAGGTCTGGAGCCAGACCCTCCCCCCCTCTCCCTTTCTCTCCGCCGAAAATCAAAACGCCGAGTGAGAAAACGCTCACCAGCCGTCGGACCGGTGCTCGGGATATCAGCCCGAGCAGACCCAGGAGTCCCCCGCAGAGGCCGTCGCGGATCTTTCGATCGGGCAGCTTCTTTCAAGACGTTTGGGGGCCATCCTCGGGCGCCGCTCGGAAATTTTGGAGGCCCTCTGAGGCTCCCTTGGGCCCTCTCAGAGGCCTTGGCGGCCTTCGTCGAGCCATCCAGGAGGACAAACAGTAACGCTCGATGTTCAACATTTGGAAAAAAGATTTCTGTCAGTGAAATCAATGATGCAATCTCTGGATCGTGCATTAATCATGTTCTGCGACCTCTGAGCTTCGGCGCTCCGGCGCCTCCGCCGAGCGCTCAGAGGGCCGCCCTCCGGGGCGTACATCGGCGCCTGTCTATCTTGGAGGACATCAAGGAAGAGGGGCGGAGCCGATTAGAACCGCTCTTCAGGAGCCCGAGCGATCACTTCTCGACACCCTCCTTGGCCGCTCTCGGGGCGTTCTTGAGTACTCCTGGCACCGTCTCAGGGCTCCTCTGGGTTCGAATAACACGTCACGGTATGCATCGGCGGCAAGCCCAGGGTGGCAGTGAGATGGGGCGGGCCTTCTCATCAGGCTCGAAAGGCCTCGGGCATTCTGAGAGGTTTCTCAACTCTCCCCCGAACACGCATAATCTTTTGAGAAGGCCAGAGCTCTTCTGAGAAGCATCGCCGCCTTCTGAGAAGGCCTGCTCCTTTTCGCCTCCCCCCACGCGCGCCGCCGATCTCCTGTGTCCGAATCTCACATCGCGGCGCAGAGACATTTTCTCGGAGGTCCGCGCGGATGTCTTGGATCAGCGTTGGCCCCCCCTTGGCGGCTCCTCCTGGCGCCGAGCCAGGACGCCCGCGCGGATCTCCAAGAAAGCGCCTCTGTGAGGTTCGCTGCTCCTCTCGAGGGGCTCCGTCTGGAGCTCCTCCTGGGCCGGCGACGCAGAGGCGAGGAGGCAGCACTCATGGAACGCCAGCGTGGAGTCGGGCCTGTCCCTCTACAGGGGCGACAGTAAAAGTAGTCAGGGCAGGGTGTGGACGATTTCTCGACTATGTGGGAACATTGTTTGGTGTATCTCTGTGGTACTGTTCAGTTTTCGTCTGCAATCCGCCTGTAGGGGGACACGCCCGACTGAAAGAGAGCGCCTTTGTGCAGCTCGCTGCTCCTCGATGGGTCCCGTCTGGAGCTCTCTTGGGCCAGCGACGCAAAGGCGAGGAGGCAACACTCATGGAACGCCAGCATTGGGTCGGGCCTTTCCCTCTACAGGGGGAATCTTCAAAGATAGTAAAACAATAGTCTGGGGAGGATCTGTTGGATTATTTTCTGGCATTTTTGAGGAGATGTGTTGACCATGCTTTTTTTCCGCGCACACTCCGCCGATCCCACCGATTCTCGCCCCTCCTGCGCCCCCGACCAGTTTGGACATTTTGGAGTACTTGTTGTCTATTTCGTTTGCTCGCCCAGCATCCGCCTGTAGGGGGGCACGCCCGATCTAACGCCAGCACGATCTCCCCGATGATCCTTAGGGGAACACAAGGTAGCATAGATATAAAAACTCGGAGGTCCGCGAGGATTTCTCGGATCGGCGCTAGGGCCCCCCGGCGGCGCCTCCGGCGCCGCCCTTGGCGCGCTCCGCGCGCCAGGGAGGGGGCCTCAGCACCGATCCGAGAAATCCGCTCGGACCTCCGAGTTTTTATGTTGATGCCGCTTTTTGTTCCCCTATGTCCTCCGCCTGCGCCCCCCGGCTGTCTTTGCAGCCCCTCGGCCCAGCAGCTCCCCCCTCCCGCGGCCCCTCCCCGGGGGGGGGAGCCCGACCCGTGAGCGGCTTCTGAAGAAGGAGCACTGGCTTTCGGAAGGGGCTCGGCCCGCTCCTTCGACTCGCATGCGTTATTTGCCATTGTGCGTTGTGTGTCATAGATCGGAGGGTACCAGGCCGCCTATCCTGGCACGTCGATTAGCGAACTGGCCGTTTTCGGTTCGCGAGAGGGCGTCGCAGCCGGCATTTTTGCGGGTCCAGGTCCATCGGTTTCGGTCCCAAGCCGTTTTCGCCAAGGGGTGGCTTACTGAGGGGAGGGAGCTTGTTTTTTTATTGCTCGGACCCGTAACGCCCGTTACGGGGGGGTGTCCCCCCCCCCGTAACGGTAACGAGCGCACGGGGACGGGGGTAAGGACCCCCCCTCCGCCCAGGCAGGCATGCTGTGACGCTCACATGTGTGCTCAGGTTCGAGGTTCGAGGTTCGACTGGGGCTCAGACGCACCAGTTTCCCGAGCCGCGTCCAGCCGCGGCCGCAGCTTTGTGGTGCACACGTGCCATGTGGTATACACAGGCGCCACGGTTCACACTCCCATGATGTACACAGTCGCAATGGAGTACACAGGCGCTGTGGGCTCAACAGGTCCGAGCGCTTTTTGAACCAGAAAAACTACGATCCACAAGCAGCTCACATAATGAAAGGGCCACGGTTGGGCCCAGCGATCTTCTGGATTTTCGCTCCGCCGGTACCTTACAGGTGTACACGAGCTTTGTGGTGTACGCTGGCATTCTGGTGCAAACACGGGGCGTTGTAACAGCAGCTGTGGTGCACGCGGGCGCCTTGGTGTGCACCAACAGTGAGATGTACAAGGGCGCTGTGGTGCGCCCGCCTGTCATGATGTGCTCAGTCGCCGTGGTGCACACACATACCATTTCTGCCGCAGTTGTGGTGTACAAAGGCATCGCGGTGTACAGAGCCTGTGTAGTGTGCACAGGCACGGTCGGCTTCGACGACGACGACAGCGGCGACGACGACGACGACGAAGCCTACCGTGCCGACAGTTGTGCTGGTAATAAGTACCAGGGCCCATGCGAGGGCCCCGCCGCGCGTTACCGTTACCCCCAACTTTGGGCCGGACCCCCCCCCCTCGTAACGGGCGTTACCCCCCCCCCAAAAAAAAAAAAACTCAGGCTTGTCCACTGCGGAACATATATCGTTCTTTATGCGCTACTCCTTGGAAAGAGGGGCTTCGTTCCTCATTAATCAGGGGGGAAAAAACACACAGACACAATTCCTCCTCGATTCCCCAGAAAGTATGGGAAACTATGGGAAAAGGGGGGAAGACAAAAAGTCCCAGAGAATATGGGGAAATATGGGGAATCTTTTGATTCGTGTGCATTTTTTCTTTGTGTGTCCTGGGGCCCCTTCATAACATCGTTCTTTCTGCGCTACTCCTTGGAGGAAGGGGCTTCGTTCCTCATTCATCGTTCCTGCCAGGCCGATGCATCGCGTGCAGGCGCCTGCCCGGGTGGCCATCGGGGGCGCGGGCGAGGCTCTCTCTGCGCTCCGCGAGCGGCCCGTCGGGCCGCCCCGCCCACCGCCCGCGGACATCGGGGCCCCCGGTTGCTGGGCCTCCGCGGGGTGGCCCCGCTGCGGGCAATGCCTACATCCACGTCCAGTGCGTCTTGGAGCTTCGGGCTCTCTTCCCGAAGGATTGCAAAAAAACCTAAGGATTGCAAAAAAACCGAAGGATTGCAATCCTTCGGTTTTTTTTTGCAATCTCTCGGACAAAATGAGGCGCTCTGGATATGGATTAAGATCTGCCCCCCAAAGGCTCGGTTTTTATCTATATGTCCAGTGCGCCTCGGCATCTGTGGTGCCGCTTCCAAGGAATTCCCAAACGCACTGGGTATGGATAGAAGTTCTGCCCGCACCCGCTGCCACGGGACAGGCTGGTCGTGTTCCCGGGGGGTCCGTCTGGGCCGATCTCTGCCCGTTCGAGGCGCCCTCGGCCACCGGGCACGACCGCCGGCGCCCGGAGGACCCGGAGGACGGCCACGCCGCGGGCCCCTGGGCCCCTCGGCCCGGGGAGTGTGCTGCTGGCGTGACGCTGCCGGCGCAGCCTGGCGGTCCCCCGCGCAGCACGGGGGGCGCGCGGACTACGAGGACCTCGCGACCGGGGAGACAGTGGGCGAGGGGAGCACCGCGACCGTCTACCGGGGCAAGTTCAGGCAGGAGCACCCCGCGGACCTGCTGGGCGAGGACGGCTGGAGGGGGGCCAACTGCACACCTCCACGGATTCCTGGTCGGGGAAGCTTAAGGTTCGAGTAAGCCAGAACTCGGGTCAGCCGAGGTTTTTTGACGAGCGCGTCCAGGATTTTGACGGTTCGGTTTTCGTGGGATGTCTGCAGCGGGAGCCCGCGTCAAATATCATATGAAGTTTCGTCATTTTTATGATGGCCCCCCGTCAGGCCAACCCGAGTCCCCCGTACCCGAGTCTTACGTCTCCCCGACCTGGGCTTGGGGCCGAGTTGGCCAGGGCCGGTGTGGGTCTGCGGTCGGCGCCCTCCCGAGGAGGACGCCCAGGACACGGACGTCGCGATCAAGAAATTTCTGTTTGACCAGGGGGACGACGAGCAGCTCGCGAAAGCCCTCGTGCGGGAGCTCGAGGTGCTGAGCACACTGAATCACGACAACCTTGTTCGCCTGATAGGCGTAGTGGAGTCGCCTCCCTGCATCGTGATGGAATTCTGCCACGGAGGGGTGCTGTACGACCTCCTGTACAATTCCGCGTACAGGGTCCAGTGGAAGCAGCAGCTGAAGATCGCCTGCGACATCGCAGAGGCCATGGAGTATCTGCACACCCTTGAGCCCCCTATCATTCACAGGGACCTGAAATCGTTGAATTGCCTTCTGGAGGAGCCCGTGGTTTCGTCGGAATGCGAGCCCTTTGTGAAGGTGACAGACCTTGGCGTGGCCACCGGGCGGAGGAAGAGGGGGAGGAGGATGAGGAGAAACGTGAGGAACGGGTGGGGTGGGGAGGGATGAGGAGAAGCGT